GACTGTTGTCAGAATCCCAGTAAAATAATGACCTCACAAGGTTCTTGTGAGAATAAAATGAAATCATGCATAGAAAATGCTTGGCAAAGTACCTGACAGAGCAGCCATACTCAGCAAACAGTAGAAGCTTCTACCATTCCCACTGTCTCTTCCCTTTGGAGGCCAGCTCAAGAGCAGATGATCAATTGCCTCACCCCTAAGTTTCCAGAAGCAGAGTATTCTAGTCAGTGGAGTTTGGTCCTAACCTTCATCCTTAGCCCAGGGGGACCAAAAGATGCTGTCCCTTCTTGCCTTCTGGGGAGGCCTACCATGCTACAGAAGACAACAGCGAGGGCAAAGCCTTGGCTCTGCAGTGTCTCCTCTGTGTCCTTCACAGGGTTTCACGTAAGATACACATGAAATGAGGTGTGTGAAGCAAGGACAAGAGGAAAAGACTCAGCAACCACAAAAATCAAAGAGCATAGCATTCAATCCATGGTAAAGGTCAGCCTGCTTGTGCCAACAATCTCACCCCATAGTGCACACCTGTCCCCCACCTAGAATGGTTCCAATCCCATTGCCCTGCCCAGGCTAGGTCTCCTCCAGGAATCCTTTCTAGAAGTCTCCTCACAACATCCAATCACACTGCCAACTTGGGTTTAAAGGGGTTCATCTGAGAACCACCATTACTAACCATCAAAAAAATGAGGGCTGGGAGCATGGCTCAATTAGTAGTGCATTTGTCTATCAAGTACGAGGCCCCGAGTTCAAACCCTAGTGCCGCCAAAAAAAAGTTTAGAAAAGAAAATTATGGCGATGCCAATATTACCATGGAAGCAGGCTTGCTTCCATAAGGCTTTGCATCTGCTGTTCCCTCTGCCTGGAATGCTCTTCCCTTAGTTCTCTATACTTCCTTCAGTGTGTATTCAGATCTCAGAGGGATCTTCCCTGGCCAATTATCTCCATGTACATTCCTCTCACCTGACATTCCCTATAGCCCATCTAAAACACTATATGATCCATTATTTAATTTGTTTATTCTTTAGAGAGCAAGCTCCATGAAGGAAGGGCTTTTTTGTGTTGTTTTATTCGTGGCTAAATTCTCACCTAGAATAGTATCTGGTAACAGCAGCTACTCAGTAAATATTTTCTGAATGAATAAATGAGATATACTCAAAGCTGTACTCTGAGGAAATTTCATAGTTCAAAGGCTTTTTATCGAATAAGAACAGAATGAGAATAGATGGATGAAACAGAGAGCAGAGGCCTTCTTGCTCAGTGCTATATTGCCAACCCCACCTAGCAGTCACTACAACACCTACTTCAATGACTGCAGAGTGACAGTATATAAGCAAAGTTAATTGAAAGACACCAGGAGGGGAACTGGAAGTGTGGCTCTGCTTTGCAAGGGTGAAGCCCTGAGTTTAAACCCCAGTCCCATCAAAACAAACAAACAATAACAAAAACCATTCCTAATGGGAACTTTGGTGGGAAAGACAGCAAGAGGGAGGTAGACAACAGCAGAAATCAAATTAGAAAGACAGCATTGGCAGAAACAACAAAACTCTAGAAGAATTAGTTAAGAAAAATGCAGTCACACATTAAGATTATAAATAAATGTGTTTTGTTTTCATTAGAATATTACATATAGCTCTATGTCAAGACATTTTAAAACTTTTTTTAAAATTTTAAACAAAAATCTCCATTAAAAAGGTGACCCAAGGACACACAAGGTTTCAATTTAGGAGGCCAGGCTGGGTGCCTCGCATCTGTAATCCCAGCTACTTGGGGACATAGAGGTTCAAGATCAGCTCAGGCAAAAAAAGCTAATGAGACCCTCCCCCTCATCTCAACCAACAAGCTGGGCATTGTAGCTGGCACTTGTGGCCACAACTACATAGAAGGCATAGGTAGGAAGATCAAAGTTCCAGGCCAACCCCCAACAAAAATATGAGATCCTATCGAAAAACTAACTAAAGCTAAAAAGGACTGGGGGCATGGCTCAAGTGACAGAGTTCTTGCCTAGCAAGCACAAGGCCCTGAGATCAAACCCCAGTAAGGCCAAAAAACAAGAAATAAAAGATTCTAATTTGGAACTTCAGGGTTGACAAATTCCGTGCTCATTTCTTCCTTCTCCCTGCAGCCTCTCTAGAGGGCAGCTCACTCCTGTTCCCCAGGGTCCACCCACACCAACAGGGCCACATTCAGAAGGCATCAATGGTCAGTGCACCTGTGGGGGCAGGGGCTCACCTTGTTGGCACAGCTGAAGCCCAGCCCCAGCTCGGCCAGGACCTTCAGCACGCCCAGGCTGCTGTTGCACTTGACAGCGTAAAAGGGCCGGACTCGTGGTAGGCACTTCAGAAAGCAGAAGTGCTTCCTCACTACTGCACCCAGGTCGGCCACGAAGAAGGCAGCGACCTCACCCTGCACAACAAGAGGTATATGGATGTGAGACCACCCAGCTCCCTCCCTGTGCATGCTGTTCACAGTTCTTCCAAGGACCAGCCCCAGCTCAGCTCTGACCATGAAGCAACCCTGTTGTTGTTTTCTGAAACTTCCCAAGCCTACAGGATAGAAGTCAAATGCCTCAGCCTGGCATTTAAGGCTCTGTGATCCAGCTCCAGCTCCTGCCAGCAATGCATCTTAAAATTCTATGTGCTGGATCATGTTCCCATCTCCAAGCCCTCTGCTGGGTTTGGCAAAATCCCAGTCTAACTTCAAGTCTCAGCTCAACCTTCCCCAAACCCATAAGGCAACTTGGTCTTTAATGTCCTCATTGCATGTTAAATGTGCTTCCAAAACCTCAGAAGGGTATATACAGCTGTCTGCTCCAGGAAAGGGTCAATTTCTTGAAGGCAGATGCTGTGGCCTACAACCCACTGCCTTTCACATACAGGCGCTCAGTGAAGACTTGATGTTATGCCAATGCCATTATAAGCCATGCCTGTGGTCAACTGGCCCTCACAGACTAGCTGACAGCTGACCATGTAAGAGGCTATGGATTAGACCACATTACTTAAACCTTCCCTGTTTCACCCAACACATTTTTACTGATCTCACTTGTGCCAGATGTGATGCTAAGTGACAGAGATGACCACAGAGGGCTCTAGCCCTGAAGGGCTTGGGTCTTGAAGAGAAGGAACTTTAATTCCAAGTCCCTTCAATAAACGCTGGATGGGAGTTTCTACAAAAGGTATTGGGGGCATGGAGAAAGAAAATACAAAACCTGCCTGGGGAAGTCAGGAAGAAGCAACACTGATGAGAAGTAAGGAACACTAGAAATAGGTAAAGCGGAGAGACTGGGAGAAGGATGTCTCAGACAGAGGGAACAGCCTGGGCATGGTAACTGAGCACACATCACTGTGTGCTGAACTGAACAGAGCAGTTCAGCTCAGATGCAGTATGACATATACTGTGGGAATATAAAGCTGGAAATGGAGCTGTGGAGGCAGACGTGATCCTGTAGCAATGGGGAACTGCCAAGGAATTCTAATTTTGAGGAGGGCTATGATACAGTTAGAGGGGGTGGGATGAAACAGGTTAGGGGGCCTTTAGAGAGATCAGTACTGAACTACCTGAGCTGTCTGGATGGTTATTTAAGGAGGTGGACTTCACAGAACTTGGTGACACCTAGATGTGGGAGGTGAGGAGGAGGAGAGTGCTGTTTGTTCATCAAGGCAAGGAACACAGAAGAGGCAGATTTAGGGACAAGGACCAGGAGTTGGAGATAAAACTACCCAGTCTCTTGCAAATAGCAAGGACTGAATACCACATAAGTGAGTGAATAAAATGAAGGCCCTCTTCCAGAGGAGGGGACAGGGGACCCTCTTCCAGAGGAGGGGACAGGGGACCCACTCCCACTCCCAGCCCCTCACCGTGGTGGCCTGTGAGGCCCCCAGAGTGAGCTCCTCCAGCAGGTCTCGGGTGCTGAAGCCCTCCTCCACCATCACAAAGTCGGATTCACTCAGGTAGCCAGCCATGCTGAACAGGAGCCACCGGCTGGATGGAGCCGCTGCCGCAGCCGCCGCCTCAGCCGCCGCCTTAGAAAGTATGCAACACACTGCGGGGAGGGGAGGCGGAGATGGAGGGGACCGCTGGGGGAAGGCTCAGCAGCCCCCTCATCTCTCTAGGCCAGGGCTCCCAATCCCACCACGCCCCGCCCCCAGCACAAGCTTGGGGAACCTAGGTTCATTGGGAAGGGTGGGGACTTGGTTTCTACAATGGGATAAGGCATTGTATGCCTAGATGTGCCTGTCAGAGCCTCAGTTGCCCCATCTGTAAAATGGATGGATTGATTTGGAGAGCCTTTCCAGTTCTGAAATTCTGGGTTGGAAAAGGGGGAAAAAATGAGGGAGGGGGCAGGAAATTTGAGAAACTTGGGTAAGTCTCCAGGATGCCCCCAATCCTGACCGCGCCCACCTAATGGGGGGGCGGGTGGCCACGCCAAAGATTCTCAGCCTGAGAACAGGAGCTTAGATTCGAGACCATGGGTACTCCTCGACTCCTCTCCGAGCCTCAGTTTCCCGGTTTGTAAATGATTGGTCCTGACGAACTATAATTCTAAGCATGCATGGGGGCACCAACATGGTGGATAGGGTCTGCGGGCTCCCGGGGGAGGACAGAAGGCTGAGGTTCTGTTCGGGTGACCCCTCTGGAATGCAGAGTCCCGCCCCGCCCCCAAGCCCCCTTACCAAGCCCCGTCCTCCTTCGCGGGGGCCAGAGCCAGGCGCGCTGCTAGGGGGGGTCGCCGGTGACCTCGAAACTTGTGCAACACCCCGAGGAGGAGTGGCAGTTGCGGAGCCGAGGCCCCTGCTGAGAGGAGGCAAGAGGGGCCAGGGGGCAGGTCAGCGCCGAAGCCAAGGGCGCCCGCTCCCCGAGGCTCCCCAAGACACTCCCTGCACTCGCCTTAAAAAGCATTTACACGGCTTCGGCCCATAGGTCTCCCCAGCGAGTGAATCGGATCCTCGGCGCCTCCGCTCGCTCGCTCCCCCCGGCTCCGGCCCCGCGGCCTGCACCCCGTGCGCCCAGCAGCCACCGACCCCACGCCCCGCCTTCCGCCCGCCGCCTGCTTATATATGCCCCGCCCAAGCCCCGCCCCTTGCCTCCAGACCCCGCCTCCGCTTGCTCCGTAGCCCTGGCAACCGGGTGCCGCCAGCCCATTGGTGGATTCGGACATAAAGCATTTAGCTGTGCTGCCTGCTCGGCAAACCTGCGCCGCAGTCCGCGCGGATCCCTCTTCGCGGTGCCCACGATGGGATGTCGGAACTGCAGGGCTGCCGCCTCCGAGTCTCGAGTGTCCACGCGGGTGAGACCCTTAGATCCTGAGTCTTGGGTCTGGGAGAGAGGACAAGAAGCTCACTCTTTCTTAAGTGGCTCCGGGAAACCTTTTCTGTCACTGGCTAAACTCGGTAGCGTCTCTCTCTCTCTTCGCCTGGTCAAGTATTCGCTCATTCCTTGAAGCACAAGTCAAACGTCATCTCCTTGTATTATTATCTAATAAAATCCTTTTTATTTAATTGCCTTTTCCAGGCATCTTCTCTGACTTCAACTCAACAGCCACCTCAAATGTGTTCTGAGAGCATTTTTTGTAATTTTCCAGGCTTAGGGCGATTGCTCACTCCTTTTACCCTCTCAATTCGGCAAACTCAGTTGTCAAGTAAAACATGTCTCCTCCAAGAAGCTTTCTCTGAGTTCAAACATTTCTCCAATGCCAACAAACTCCTGCTTCTATCACAGTCCAATATAATGTCACCTTCTCTGTTGACCCTTCCATGACTTTCCTAGTCCCAAGGGACAGTGGAACTCAATAGCGGTTATGTCTGCCTGGACTCCTCACTCATTGCAGTCTTGCTACCTGAAATTCCTGTTGCTTTCCATTTCTTGTCATGGTGATATTTCTTGGCTTATTTAGAACCCCAAAAACAGAGACAAAGAGCTTGGTTCCTCAAAGTACTACATCCTAGAGTATGTAAGAGTGCTAAAGAAGATTTAAAAGCTGGATGCAGTGATTCCCGCCTGTAATCCCAGCACTTGGGAGGCTGAAGCAGAAAGGCTTTAAATTGGAGGACACCTGAGCTACATAGGAACACCCTGACTCAGAAAACAAACAAAAATTCCAATAGCTGTGTTATTCAAAAGCTAATTAAAGAGTTCATTTGTGGACTGGCTGAGTGGCTTAAGCAGTAGAATGTCTACCTTGAAAACCCAAAGTCCTGAGTACAGCCACAAAAAATGTTAATCTGGAACAGTTGTTCAAGAACAGTGGTAAAGCAGAAAAGAAGAGAAAAGAAAAGCGACTTCCTTTACCAGATTTCACCAAAAAAAATTTTTTTTATTGTATGTTGTAGGAGCACGAAGAGACAGCAGTAGAACAGAAGAGTCTAGAACAGTCTTCTACACTGTGGAGATTGTGGAACACAAAAAACACAGTGTGGCTAGGAGCTTTGGATCTACCTGTGTGCTCCTGCCCCTTGCCTGTCTGGAGGTGTTTTGACACCTAGATACAGCTCTTATCCTGCCCCAGTATCTCCCTAGGACACTATGCACAACCTAGTCAGTACAGAGCCTGGTCAGTACAGAGATGGGACAGTGCAATAACCATGGAATTGGAGAAGGCATTTTCGGTTCCATGTTCTGCTGAGTTATACATGAACATGACAGCTGAGTGCCCTTGATGTGTCACTCTGCCTGGACCTAAGTCTTTCCTGCCTGGCTTGATTTCCCCTTGGGAACCAAGAGTTCAGACTGATTTCTGCAGCTCTTATGCCTTAAAGCGTTTCTTTCTTTCTTTCTTTCTTTCTTTCTTTCTTTCTTTCTTTCTTTCTTTCTTTCTTTCTTTCTTTCATTCTTTCTTTGTTCCTTTCTTCTTTCCTTCCTTCCTTCCTTCCTTTCTTTCTGTCTTTCCTTTTGAAAGAGGGTCTCCCTATGTAGCCCAGGCTCAAACTCATGATCCTTCTGCTTCAACCTCCTGAGTGCTGACATTACAGGTGTTTGCCACCACACCTGGCTATGTTTTCTAGCCTAGAAATGACCTTCAGGCTTTTAGCTTTATAAAAGGGTCATTTCCAGGTTACTGCTTTGAGATATTAGTAGTCATCTGCATCATAGTAAGAAAACAAGCATACTTGTCCTCTCTCATGAGGAACAAGGTCCTCTGGAGAAAAACCAGGAGGAAGTAGACCAGGACAGCCATGGCAAAAACCTGGGAAGATGAGGCTAAGAAAGAAAAGCACCCAAACAACTTTGGCTATACATTCGGTTTTTGAGCTGGCTGCATTTGTATGTCATGGTTCAGGTCTGCCTCACAAGTTACTCTCAGCACCTGAAATGGACTAGATACATAGTAGGTACATTCATTCATGAATCAATGTAGGTAAGAAGGAACAAACCAAAATCTAATCTGTTCATTTGTAATCTGTCAAGGGTAAGTAATCAGAGCAGAAAAATCTACATCCTGGACTGGGTACAACAGGTAGGCTTTATCTTTTCTCTAATAGATATACCATTGAATCACCATGATGATCCTATGTCTTAGAGCTATAATTGTTCCCATTTTACAGGTGAAGAATCTGAAGCTTAGAGAAGTCCCAATAACTTCCCCAGGATCACACAGAAAGTAAGGGTGGAGCCCAGATTTAAAATCAAGTCAGCTGGAAGTGTGGCTCAGTGGTAGAGGGCTTGCCTAGCATGTGCAAGGCTCTAGGTTTGATCCTTAGTACCACACACACAAAAAAAAGATCCAAGTCTGCCCTGACCCTTAACCCTTATGCTTGACTTGCCACCAGTAGCTGAGGATTCTGGCCCCATCTCAACAAAAGTTACCCATTACTCCTGTGGCCATCCAGCCCAAAGTCTCTCGCCACTCTTACCTGACCTGGCTACTATGCAAAGCCCTCAAGAACACAGAATTGATTTAGAGCAAACAGCCTCTGATCTTTGGCAAAGATGATCTCAGGCAATTTCAACTTATTCTTCCTAAACCAATCCCAATCATATACTAACATTACAATACTAAAAACGCACCTTATAAGTGCATCGAACTGAAAAATTTGCTAAATACTTTCCTGTTCATTTCATTTAGGCTTCTCCAAATTTTACCTGTGTTAATCTCCTAGGGCTGCCAGAACAAAGTACTAACAACTGATGCTATAAAACAACAGAAATGTATTGTCTGGAGGCTAGAAGTTTGCAACCAAGGTGTTGGCAGGGCCATTCTCTCTGGTGGCTCTAGGAGACAATCCTTCCCTGCTTCTAGCCTCTCCTATTTGCTGGCAATTCTTGACTTTCCTTGACTTGTGGGTGTATTGCTCTAGTCTCTTGGCTGTCTTTTTCCTGTGTATCTTCACATCATCCCCCCACTATACATGTCTGTCTCTAAGTCCAAATTTCCCCTTTAGGTAAGGACACTAGTTGTATTGACCTCATTTTAGCTTTCCTCTAGAAAGTTCATATTTCTAAGCAAGATCATACTCTGTAGTGCCGGTGAGTGGGGTGAGGGTTTTAACATATCTTTTAAGGGGAATGAAAACCAACTCATACCACCAGTGAACACTTCTTTGAATATCTTTGGTCAAGACGTAGATGTATGATGACATCTCGTTACAAGAGAGGTGGGAAGACATACTCTTTAGCTGGGTACATTTCTGTTCCCTTTACCCACCAAAAAGAGTCAAAATACTGAGGAAGAAAGTGGATATTGTCTGGTGACTGACAATCTCTGCCACAAGTAGGGAAATTATCGGAAGATTATCACAAGGTGTGGTGGTGCGTGCCTATAATTTCAGCACTCAGAAGGTTGGAGCAAGAGGAACTCAAGTGCCAGACCAGCCTGGGCTACATAGTGAGACTGTGTCTCAAACAAACAAAAATGTCAGCACACCAAGTCTAGAATGATTACGGGACTTACTCCAGAGAGAGGTAGGCAGAAAAGTGAATAAACATTTATTGAGCTGAATGTTTACAAGCATGTAATTGCATTAAATCTTCATACAAAAACATTAAATCTTCAGAAAAACATTTTACTAGTCCCATTTTATGGATGAAACATGTGACTCGATCCTTGGTTGAAGGTTGCACAGCTTGTGAGCAATGAATCAAGCGCTTAGCTCTGGTCTGTTGGCTCAATGCCAGCAAGATGTGCCCTGGGAATAGGGTATGAAGCTGGAAGGAAAAACACAGAGACCAGACTAAAAACAAACAGCAGGATACCTGAGCAGTGTCTAGAACTCAAGGTCAAACACCAGATGAACTGGCAGGTCAGACTCAAACCCAAAGTCACTACTGCAAATTCCTTGAAGGCATCAGTAAGATGGAGCCCCTGAAGTCACTAGAAGTATTCTGAGGCTCAGAGAGGCCAAGTGACTTGCCCAGGATCACACAGTACATAAATGGTAGAGCCTGGACTCAAACTCAGGGCTATGCACTCGTAAGGAACTTGAAATGGTGCAGCCTAGGGCTATATTGGAGCAGAGCCTAAGGCCCTAGCCCTTGAAACCATGAATTCTAGTTATTAATGAGGTATCTGTGTCCCCTGACACATGGGCAGGTGGGCGGAGGGCCAGCCTGTACTGGCACCAAGAAGGCAAAGTTCACTAAGACTGAACGGAGGGGGAGGGTTATATTCACAACCCTCCCCTACACAGACAAGGTGCTGAAACCCATAGTTTGGATTTTTTGTGTTTATTTTCATTCTCTTTTAGGCTACACACAATGTGAAATAATAGTAATTGTATGAGACAATTAAGGAATTCACACTTTTCTTTGAGCCAGACCTGAGTCATTTCTAACAAATGTGACAAGAAAACAACCACCACACACAAAACGCCGCTCAGCTGAAATGTGCACTTGCTGCAGTGCTGTCTTCAAGCCACCTAGGAGGGCCGTGGACAAGCCTGTCAGCCCAGCTCTCACCTGCATTCTCCAGGGGTTCTCAGTCCCAGCAGAGTGCTGGGCCCCACCCCAGAGTTTCTGACTCAGTAGGTCTGGGGACCTGAGAAGGTGCATTTCTGACAAGTTCCCTGCTTTTGCTGATGCTCCCAGTCCAGGAAC